TGCAGTCACTTGGAGAAATTTCTGAGAATGGGTTATTGATCCATAAGGTAACAGACAGATTTTCTGTCTGTAAAATCTAACTTTAGACATTGCCTTCTGCCAAAAAAGGCAACAGTAGTAGTAATAATATCAAATGTTATGCTAGTATCTTGGTAACCATTTTATTGCAATGATGGTGGGACATCTTTAAATTGGGAAAGCCATGAAAGCAAGCAGTTATTTAACTTTACAACCAGATAAAGAGTCATTTAATAAGCATCACTTGACATTAAAAAAGCTGTATCTGTCTTCTGCTCACAGGTACACTCATTATTAATCCTAGGTGCCTGTAACGAAGGCAGAATTTGATCCTTTAGTACTGAGAAAAAGAGTTCAATCCTGTTAAACTAATAAATGTGTTTGGGATATGTGAAAGTCTTGCGGAGAACAACTGCTGTTATTTTCTTTACTCTTTGTACCCTGTTTTTCTTGCCCTTGTTTCTTATTATCTGTTTGAAACAGAATTATAGTTCTTTAGTAAAATACTTTTGTTTCCATATCAGTAAGGTTATGGAGTTGCTTTTAAATGCATTGCTTGTAAAACTGCCAGTATTGATTTCACAGTGTATTCTGATTTTCTGCCTGCTATCCCAAAGCAATTGTAAGGACTATGGGCTGATCCACACATATTATTGATATTCAGTGGGAAGTGCCTGCAACTAGCTGGAGGCTGATAATTGGATCTAATATTTCTCTCTCTATATATATATAAAAACATTGTCCTGTGGGATGACAGAGTGGCATCATCACCTTACTCTGTGTCCACAAGAACCCAGCCTCACCCACTCCCAGCCTGGCCTCCCCATGGTCCATGTGGCTAGGGCTGACTGCGGCCCCAGCCCTTCCCCCCTTCCCAGCAGTGGTTGCTGTAGCCTTGGTCCAGCCCTCCCCAGTGGCGAGGTGCGGGGGACAGAGACTGGCCTCAGCCCAGCCACTCCGGGCAGCTGGGGGGCAGAGCTGGGCCTGGCATAGCCTGAGCCCTAACCTGTCTCCTCCCAGCGGCTGGGGGCAGAGCTAGGCCCAGTGCAGCCTTGGCCCAGCCTACCCTGGATGCTTGGGGCATAGCTGGGGCTGGTGCGTTGGGGGAGAAGAGGGGAGGGGAGAAAGGGCCATGGCTGGTGCAGCCAGAGGGGAAGGGGGAGAGAAAGGGCCGGGCTCGGGGCTGCCATGGGCCAGCCTTCTCCTGTGGCTGGGGGGAGAGCTGGGGTTGTCTGCCCCCGACAGAGGAGGGGTTGGCGAGCGTAACGCGCAAGGGGAACAGCCCCCTAGTTTAAGTCAATAGGTAAATAGAATTTGTTACTGAGCAACTTCATGATAATGTTAGACTTCCTTTTCATTCTTAAACAATGAGATATACGTTGCAATTTGTCAAGGTAATTCTAATTCAATGAATTGCTAATTCGGTGAATTGCTACTTCCTGTTCCACATCTGCTTTACCACAATCTTTATATGCCTGCTGTCCACTCATGACTCACTGCTATTTGCTCCTCGCCACCCTGGCTGGGAATAAATTGGTCAGGAGGACTCTGTGCGGTTATGGCATTTAAAGATGATAAAATATACAGTCATTGAAACGTGAACAATGTTTGCATATTTTGAACCATTTGGTATATACTGTGAGTCTGTTTAGCTGACAAATTGCCAATATTTTTAGCATTAAACAATGCAGGTTTATTATATAATGCTATACATTTGAAATTTTATTATATTGAGAAAACTTGAATGTGCTATGTACAATATATATAGGACAAAATGATATTTTTATTTAGCTAGATTAAATATATTGTTTATATTGCCCTTAATATTGTTTATATTGCCATTTAGTTGCTGCCAAGAGTCTAGTATAACACTGTATATAGATGATAAGATACTGATGAGCATAAAATAAAATACTATATACAATAGAACATTATTTTTATTGTGTTAAAACATTTGTTTTATTGTCTTTTTTAAATGTGGCATTTGGTAGTCTAAATCCGAACATTTTGTAAACAGCTACAGTTTACTCTAATTGTAATTTCAAAAAAGTAATGAACAAATACATCCGGAATCATATATTTCCTGATATATTAGTCCATTATAATCAGTTCTTCAACAATTTTTTCACAATTTATAAACAGACTAGAACTACACCTGAGTTTTCAAGCTGTTTCACTCTATCAGTATCTGAAGCAAAATTATCTCCTTTACTCAAAGTTTTCTGAATGATGTATTTTAGCAGCAAAAGTTCCCTGAGATAGTTGTAATGATTATAACTTTTTGAAAATGATCCTAGTTTTTGTGCAAGGCAACTAGCATCTGAAACAAGTTGAATGAGGATTGTCCTTTTCAAAATTGACATTTCAAAACCAGCAAAAAGATGAATCCTTTTCACTTTCTCTTGTTCATTCTGAGACTATAACCTGCTATATCTCAATGGGCTGTAATCCATTTATTGCATGTAGTGGTGGGAATAGAGAGTTAGATATCTCAGCTGGGCTGACTGAACCTGAGTCACTCTGAACTGAGCCCCCACTGCCATCAAACTGAGAGATTTTCTTCTTGATCATTTTCCTCTCCTTGGCTCGGCGATTCTGAAACCAGATTTTCACCTGAAATGTTATAAACAATGTGTGTTTAAATTTGAAAAGTAGTTAGAGCTATCTGCAATAACATTAGCAACAGAAAATGAAAACTTAGCTTTAAGGAGTAAAAAAGTTATGTTTATTATTATACAACCTTATTATAGCTAAAGAAGCATTATTACTTTCTCATGTCTGCCCATGTTTTAGATAATTTTTGTGTTTTAATTATAACTACAGCAACATAGGAATTACCTTACTGGAAAAGACCAAAGGTCTCTCCACTCCACTATCTTTTCTCTGTCAATGGCCAGTACCAGAGGAAGGTGCAATTATGGAATCTGTCCATAAGAGAAGTTTCTTCCTATTCCCTGTTAATTAGAGGTTGATTTATGTCCTGAAGCATAAGGGTTTATTATATTCCACACTTTAAAAAAGCCCCAAAACTATTTAATATAATGGTGGATGTTTGCATTTTTTCAAATCTTGCTCTGCTCTTGAGCTCAATGATATATAATGTAGTGAGTTCCACAGACAAATTATGCATATAAAAAGAGTTAACTTTTCTCAGTTTTAAATCTGCTGCCTTTGCAATTTAATTGTGTATCATCACAATCTTTATTATGAGAAGGGATAAATAGGGACCTCGGGTTTACCTTCACCATATCATTCATTATCTTATATATCTATCTCTCTTATGTCCTCATTGATTTATTTCAGAGGCTCTTGTGTTTTTGCTATATTCCTTTAGATGGGTGACCTGAGCTGAATTGCATATCTATGCATCATTGTCCTTTTTTTCCTTTATTGATCTCATTTTACTTCATGTTGTCTCTTAGGCTGCACGTGGAGGAAAAGACTATTCAAAGAAGAAGACTATTCAAAAGAGCTGAATATGTTTACTTAGAAGACAACACATAATGCTCTTTAAAAGAAAGATCTCTTAGTTCAGTGTTTCTTAAACTTTTTAAGACCGAGGAACACCAAACAATAATTTTTTTTTATGGTGGAACACCAAGGATTTTTGTAGAGCAAAAAAAAGGAAGCTTGCCCCTTTTAAGGATGACCATTTGAACTCTGTTCTCTCCATGTATGGTGACCATTATTTTCTGAACCAAAATTAGGGGCACATTACTTACACCTCCTGCCCTCTGTTTACTATGCCCCTGACTCTCGGGGTCAAGATGGACACAGGACCAGAAGTAAAAATAACCCTCTCTAAGAACTTTTCCCACCATCCTCCTACCCATACGGGATGAGTTTGGCCCCCACCGAACCCTCTCTCCTCTGGTGCTGGTGTCTCTCCTGCAGGTGTCTGCCCTTCTGCTTCACCCCCAGAATCCCCTGGTGCACCTGCACCTTCCCTTACCCCTGCACCGTCCTGGTGCTTCCTTCCTTCCTTCCTTCACTGCCCCTGCCCCCTTTCCTTCTTTCTCCCTAATGCCCATCCCCTCACCCCCCTCTGCCCGAGTTCCTCTCATGCCTCTCTGTGCCCTCACACATGACTTGCTCCATCCCCGCCTTCCTCATGCCCAGGGCTCAACAAATAATACAATCTACTTGCCGAGTAGATTGTAACCCGGAAGAGCCAGGTTCGGGTGATCTACGCATGTGCAGAACAATCTGCGCATGCGCAGATCGCTGGACAGCATGGCTGGCGAGCAGGGCTCGCCGCGGTTTGGAGAGCCCTGCTCATGCCCACCCCTCCTTTCAACTCTTCTCTCAGCATCTCCCCCTCCCCTTCCTTTCTCTTGCTCTCAATGCCCTTCCCCCTCCTCTCCCAGCATCACCCTGTCCCCTCCACCTACCCACCCCCACTGACATTTCCCTACCCTCCTCCTGCCCTTTTCCTCATTGTCTCCTCTTGGCCTCCTGGCATTTGTATCTCCTCCACCCTGTCTCTTGGGGTGCGTCTAGACTACATGGCTCCGTACTTTACATAGTTTACTTGACATAGTCAATGAAGTGGGGATTTAAATAATCCCCGCTTCATTAAAATAAAAATTACCACTGCACTGTGCTGACAATCAGCTGATCCGGCACAGCGTGGCAGTCTAGACATGGTGCAATGGACAAGGGAAGACTTTGTCGACCGCTCCGGTAAACCTCGTTTCACGAGGCTTCCTTTGTCGACCAATTAGCATCTAGACTGCTGCGCTGTGCCAGATCAGCTGATTGTTGGCACAGCGCGGCGGCCATTTTTATTTTAATGAAGCGGGGATTATTTAAATCCCCGCTTCATTGACTATGTCAAGTAAACTACTTTACATGGCTCCGTCGACGGAGCCATGTAGTCCAGATGCACCCTTGGTGCCTTCCCCTTTCTTCTGCTGCCCTGCCCTCCTTTCCTCAGCACAAGCCCCTTCCACTCCCACCCTCCTTCCCCCTAGTTCTCTCCAAACCCCTTCCCCACCTTCTTCCTTCCAGTTTGAGGGGCTGGAGTCTGTGGTTGGGCCCCAGAAGTTCCCGCAGCGCTGGCCCCAGCTGCTTCCAAGGCAGGACCGCTTGCCGGGCCTGAAGCTGGGCCACCCATAGTGCTAATGTTAGTGCCACATTCCAGTCCCCACACTAGCTTTGGCTCCCATTAGGGGGAGCGTGGAGGGGAGGTGGAGAAAGTCCCCACCCTCCCAGATCTGGCTTGTGGAGCAGGTCTATGCACTGCCACTCCCCCAGCGGAGTGGGAAGAGGCGGGGGGAGAAAGGGCCGTGTACAGAGCGCACCAGCAGAGCCTGAACATAGCCCGCTCTGCAGTGCTCCAGCCGAGCTCTGCGCGGTCTCTGGCAGCTCCCAGGGGCAGCTCACCAGCTCTGACCAGTGCCCCTCCTTCTCCGGCAGCAGTGGCGGCCTCCTGTGGATGGAGGAAGCTGGGCTGGTGGTGCACAGTGGAGGCAGTCCCGCAGCGGGAAGGAAGAGCCATGCGGGGTGTGGGGGTTGTCGGACGGCAGCACGTGCTGCATGGGAGCTCGGAGCTCTGGACACTGTGCGCCACTGGCAGTGGCCCTGGCTGCCCGTGCAAAGCACCAAGGGAGCCGCTTATGTGCTGGGTGGAGGCAGGGAGTTGCTGCTGTGCCATGCTAGCACTGGAAGTCTTTAAATCTGGGACTGTCCCGGAAAAAAAGGCACGTATAGTCACCATATCTCTGCGGCACACCTCTGACTGCCTTGCAGCACACTGGTGTGCCATGGCACACCCTTTAAGAAACACTGTCTTGGTTAGATCTGCCCATGCAGGGAAAAGGCACTTTGGTCACTAAAGTATTAGAGAGGTGATAGTTTTTTGTTTTCTATATACCAAATCCTGTTTCCTTTTACAGACTTTAACAGAACTGGTAAAGTTGTGTTGTGCGAGGGGTGGGATTCTGAGATGCAATGCACTAGTTTATGTCCCACACAAATGGGCGGCAGGTAAAAGCCCAACTGGGGAAGTCAAGCTCCAGCTCCGCCTCTTCTGCCCAAGGCTCCACCCCTGGAGCCAAGCCCTACTCACCCCCACTCCGATACTTCCTGGCCAAATAGAGAACCGAGGCTGCTGTGCTGCAGCCCCAGCCTCATCCCTCCCCAGTGGCCGGGGGGAGCCAGGCTGCCCTGGCGGCTAGAGGAAGCTGACCCGCTGTGCTGCAGCCCCTGCCTTCCCCGACAGTTGGGGGAATCCAGGCTGCAGTGTCACAGCCCCAGTGTTAAGTGGATGGTCATGTAGGCAGTTTTGGGAAGGCTGTGCCTTCTCTTGCCTGCATTATTGATGGCCCATGCCCACACACACCACAGAGCTGTGCTCCACAGGTTCTGTTACCAGTCTAGTGATTTCTGGAGTCCCTATAGATTTCTCCTGAACAGTGCCTATGTACCTTGACCCCATTTCAGGAAAACATCCCTATTCAGAATAGCATTTAATCATATGCTTAACGTTAGAGATTAATTTAAACATGTGCTTGAGTGCTTTCCTGAATCGGGGCCCTCAGCTGTACTTAAGAATAAGAATTTGGCCCTAAAACTTCTGGTTTACAGTAACCTGCGTGCTACCTCGGGAGTGTTGAGCAGTAGTGAAAAAACTGCTAACTATCCAGGGCTATGTAAAACCCTTAATCTTGGCACTGAACTCATATTGATCAAAGGCAGATATGGACCACAGAAAATAATATTAATAACAATATTAATAGCAATGACAATATTAATAATTATTAATATAATGATCATAATATTAATTATATATATATATTTATGTTTTATTGCTATTTGCATTCTCCATTTTCATTCTGTCTGCTGATAGCTGAACTGAGCGTGATGCTGTAGATCTCTTCTGGGTCACCATTTTGTTGCGACTGCAAGAATGAAGCAAAATGCAGAATGCCATAGTTATAATGGACAGAATTAAAACAATGCTGGGTCTTTTAAAAATTCCATCTGCATAAATGTGGTTACCTAGAGTGTAATCAAGGACTGTTTTTCCATGACTATAGTTGAAATTAATTCCTTATGTTCAGTCATGAAAATTTTGCCCACATAGTAACCAGAGGAAACATATATGACTGCAGACTTTTTTTTAAAAATTGTTATTTATGTGTATTTAGCATTTTCTCGCTTCTATAGCCATGGCAGCTGCATTGATGCAACCAATCAGTTGTGTCTTGGTTCTGTATTACTTATAGAACATCAGCACTGAATACACTGGTTTATCATCTCTGATGCTATAATTAATAGGACCTGGCCTGTAGATATGAAATATATAGAAAAATCTTGTATATTTTCCATTTACCTGTCTTTCAGACAGTCCCAGGTTGGCTGCAAGTTCAGACTTCCTCCTTATTGTAATGTATCTGTTGCAGTGAAACTCCTTTTCTAACTCTAGTCTTTGGTGATCCGTGTAAACAACTCGGTACTTTTCTTTTGTTCTTGTTTTACCTGTGTAAGAAAAAAACCCACGTATTTTAATACTTTGACTGTAGCATCTTCTATCTGAGAAGCTCACAAACTTTATGGACATTAATGAATTCAGCCTCATACTACCCATTTGGGATTATTTTCTCTGTTACTGATTGGGAAACTGAGGTGAGGTTGAGAGATTTACCCAGAGTTACACAGTGTGCTGATAGCATAGGTGTGAGCAGAATTCAGATTTCCTTAATTTTCCTTAGCTACTTTAATTTTCCTTAGCTTCTATTATTGCTCTAGGCATTCGTTTCTAAATAATTTTCCCCAGTTACTTTTCGTTACTTATACGTGCAAAATAATCAGCCGGCATAATTACTTTTCAAAGTAAATATCCTATATCATCTTTCTTCTGAGAGGATTCTGAAGCAGAGGTTGCTGTATTTCACTACCAGGTGTAGTGATGTCCTATCTCTCTCTCTCTCTCTCTCTGTCTCTCTCTCTCTCTCTCTCTCTCTCACAGGAGCAACTTCCCCCAGCACTAAAATTCATATTCAGCCATCATCATGTTCTTCATTGTTGTCTTCTTCTTCTTCTTTTTTTTTTTAAAGAAACATGCTCTAATGCCATGTTTGGTTGAGATGTATAACCAAGGTGTCATAAGAAATAAAGACTTGGGTTTCACATCTCTTCCAAATATAGAAATTAAAGACATATTCTGCTAAAAACAGATAGTAAAAATGTTCAATGACTTTGTTCAGCTCTATGACACATATTCAATAACATTTAATTAGAATTACCTGCAAAATAAAGGCCCTAAGTTTGCAGGGTGTTGAATGCCTGTTGGGCTAGACCTTACAGAGTAGAGAGTGCTACATAGTTTTGTCTTTAATTACTATTGTGATCTGAAGGTCCTTGATAATGTATCATCCCAGGCCCTAACATTAGTGTACAAAAGAATCTAAACATCACCCTATCCTACCACAAACTCAGATAAAAGATGCTTATAAATATGCTGGATTAATGATATCATCATGACTATTATTTGGTGTTTGGAAGATAAGCTTTCATATTTGAACATTTTATTTTGGTAAGATTATCAGATGTTAATTCAGAGAGATCATTCTCTAATGTTTTTGTTCACTTTTAGCACTTTCCAGAGTTGATTGGGAGGATGGTGTATGGTGTGTTTGGTATGTGGTGGGTTTTGTTTTTGTTTTTTTTATAAATCCTTCTGATCTTCCCAGGTTGTTTTTGATGTGAGTTTTTTTGGGGACAAACTGTAGGACAAAGAATCCTTTAAAGTGGTTCCCTAAACTCCATTGAGGTGTTAAGATGAAGCACACGCCACACAAAAGAGTACAAGAAGATCTTATCAAGAACCTCTTTCACATTCAGAAACACAAGCCAATTGGTTTGGAATTTACAAGCCCTAAACAAATGTCAGACTCTCTTTCATCTCAGGAAAAAAAGAAAGGGATAGAAATAAATGAAGAAATATTTCTTTTGATCATCACTTTTCAATTTGTACTCTACAGCACAGTTGATTTGAACCTGGTGGTTTATCTAAAATCTGAAGCTACAAATTTAAGAGGATTTCCTAAATCCATTATTATTTTAAATAGAAAATATTGGTTTCACTGAAAGACATATATATAGGTGATGTAAGTTTAATTAATATTTCAACCCACATATTGACAGGGTGGCTAAGGTCCTGGCTTTGAAACATTTAACATAAGCGAGGCATGCTCTGTTAACAATAGTCAAGCTTTTATGTTCCAATTACACTGTAAGCCATTAGTCTAACTTGTGAAAATAAGAGTTAAAATTCAGCAAGGTTAGTCTAGCTTTTCCATAATTAGTAAATATAACCAATGTTCAGGAGGGTGGTATAGAGGGAACAGTTTATCCCATTCCCCCTGGTCATAAAATTCACAGAGCATTTCTTCTGAAGACAATAAAACTAGTAGAAGGCCTCTTTATTTGCTGTGAAAATCATCACCCTTTCCGGCAGTATAACTCCTGAAGAAAAGAGAGAGAAGGAAGAGACAGGGCTGCATATCAAAGCAAAGAGAAGTGTTAAAAGGGTCTGTTGCCTCAATATGACAGATAGGCCTCAAAACCCAAGATAGCATAGCCCAGGGGAAAAATAGATGTCACAACTGGATTACAAAGTGAAATTAATTAGCATTAGAATTGGGACCTGGCACTTTTCCTCATAACTTCTTTTCTATTTCATTTTCTAACTGATTTTTATTGTGAGGAACTAATGGTACAGTTGTATATTTAAGTGCACACATATTTATACAATGTATGTAATATGTAGAAACAGAATACATGTCTAAGGTCTGTTCCTGCAAGCCATACATGAATATTCTTCACTCTTGTGAACAGTAAGTCCAAATGCTGATATTTTTTTAAGTATGTCTTCCAGATTGCTCCCCCTACAATTTCCATATTCACTTTTCTTAGGAGGTTTGAAGTACATTATCTGGACCTCTATACAAATGTGTCCTTCTTCCTCCCTCCATTTCCTTTCCACCCCTCCCAGAATATAATACAAAAAAAGGAAACATTAAGTTTTATTTTACACCATTACTTGCATTGGATTAAAAATAAATTGACCCTATACCATTAAAATCAATGGGGAGTTTGTTTTTTACTCCAAGGAGTACAGGATTTGATCATGGGGAGTAGGGATGTGTTCCTTTCTGTTTGTGGCAGCCTGTCTTGAAAGGCATCAGGCTTGATGCAATTTGCATTTAAAAAATTCGTGTTCACAATGTGTTAGATGTTAAAATCCAACATAGTTGCACTGTAGCTATCGAAGAATGTAATTTAACATTTTCTTTTAAAATAGTTTTAGAAGACTATATAATTTGTAATTGTTTACAAAAATACATAAATCATTAAATTTCAGTGTGAGTTCATTATATTGAAAAGTCTCAAATCATAATTTTTTTAAATTACAGTATTTTCTTCCTGAGAATTGTATATTTGGTGAGTTATCACTTTTAATGGTTTTGCTATGGATGCAACTGAATTTAAAATATAGCCACCAAAATGTGGTATTTTTGATGTACTGTACAAAATGTATTGTCAAAATTCAATACATTAAGAGAAAAGATTTTGCATTCTTTTTGTAATCCCTGCTGATATCTTGAGTACTACATTTAGGAAAGTTCTCTCATTTATTTAATACATTTTCGCTCCAATCATGTGAAGACTTACAAGTGCTTAAATATAGTTGAGCTTTGTTGGACTATTCACAATGAATAAAACTAAGTACATATGAAATCTTTGTAGAATCTGGGCTGTATATTTCAGATATAGTTTCCTAACAATAAGCTGTATCAAACAATGAAATAGTCTAGGTAGACTAGTGTTAGAAATCTAGACAGAACAGAGCTCTAGTTTATACATATGAGGGAGCAGTTCTACATGGTAGTGGTGGATATGATGACACAACAGATTTTTTCATCTTTGATGTCTTAATTCTTATTGCAGTATCTTCTAGAGAAAGCATTATTTAGGTTTTTGTATGTAGAGACCTTGTAGCAAATTGTAAATCCACGTGTAAATATAGATTTATTAGTGACCTATATGGTACTAACATCAAGCTCTTTGGAATCTTGCTTGAACTACATTTTGTCATATTGCATCTGGTACGTATCTTTTCCCAAATGGCATTTAATTTTAACAAGATTAAAACATTTTGGGATCTGATCTTATGAGGTTCTAAGCAAACTCAAACTATTGAAGTCAAATGGGAGAGTTTAAGGTGTTCAACACCTCAAAGGATTGGGCCCTGGATGATGAAGCCCTGAGCAGGCAAAGATTTATCTGCTTAACAGTCCCTTAAATTGAGGCTATTCACAGGCCTCAATTCAACAGTCCATTTGTGTTCACAACACATTTAAGGGTGTGTTTAGGTGCTTTGCTGAATAAAGATACCCTTAAACATCTGCTTAAATGTTTGGCTGAATTAGAGTTACAGTACATTTAATTAAGCCTGTGTGTAAGTCTTTACAAGGTCTGGGACTATTAGTGGCCTCCACTGTTCGTAAGTTCTTATGGACTGTATTGAACTAAGTTTTTTTTATTTTTTTTGTATATTATTCCCTAAATATATTAGTCCAATTATAATTCAGTGGAGTTTGATCAAGGATGAATTAAAGACTGGCTAGAATTTTTTTTAAACAAAAATGAAATATAAAAAATGGACATTTTGGCTCAGAAACAATTGCAAAACTAATCTCATCCTTGAGTAATTAATAACATCCGTAACCGAATTTCTTTATCCTGTGAAATCGTTCCAGTTGTAATTGCCCTTCTTTCCTTACGCCATTTTCTTTAGTGGTGTGTAACACACACTATTTTTAACTTTAACAGTAGATTTAGCAAGTGGCAGGCCTTGCTGCACCTAATCTCTGCCTAGCTGATCTACACAGAAAGATTAGTCTGCCATTGGGGCTTGTCACGAAATTGAGTACTCTAGCTCTGAAAGTTTGAACAAGGGAGGTTTTTAAATATCTAATTGTTACACATAACAAAATCACATTGCACATGGAAATATTTTTCAAGACAACTAAAAATAATGCTCTTAGCTCTACCTTTTATTGGATTTGTCGTGTCTGCAAAAAATGTATACACCAATAAACTCATAATTAAGGATGATTGCTTGTCAGGAATGAATCTACTCAATTAATAAATCCACCAATGAAATAGAAAATATATTAACACCAGGAAAAAATAGCTTACTGATCATAATTTTGAGGAGTCTACACTGAATTTTCTTTTAAAGAATAGAGCCAAAAATGGAAGATGTCAAAACATTTATTGTTCAGTAACTGGCAAGATAGTAACATAATATTTCTGCAAATATAACTACTAAAACTACATTTAACACTTTCCTATAAAACTTATTAAATGCTTTTTCTTTTAGTGAAATAATTTTTATGAATACTGTTTTCTGCATGTAACTTTGATACTTTGTGTGTACAATTTCTTTCATCCAAAAGATTCTTAAAGTGCATTATAGACTATGTGCGAAGATCACTTTATAGTTTGTGAAATGAAGCCATATCCAAAGTAGAAAACAGTAGATATGCCACACAAGCAACATTACAAAACAGTTATAAAAGTTAAACTAGTGCAGATTTAGTTGAAATAATAGTTATAATGTGTTAGATTAAATATAATCCAGCTAAATATGAGATTCAATTAAGACTCATTATAAATGAGAACGGTGAAAAATAATAGAAAATGTTTTAGGAGGTTGAAAGTTTCCTTACCTGCAGTAGTAGATTGTGTTTTTCTCATCCATTCATAAGAGTTGTGCCTTTGAATGGTGGGAGAGATTTGCTCTGCATTAATTGTACCTACAGAAGGTAAAACTGCAGATCCAGCAGGATGAAGGGAGTTGTAATCAGTAGAGCTGTAGGAAACTTGCCCAGGAGATGAGCTATTGATTTGTGCAGCAGTAACTGTGCTGGAGGGTCCCGGGCCATAAGTATTCCAATCCTCCCTTTGCGTGCTGTAGTGAGTTTCCCAAGCTCCTGAAGACTGTCCTTGGTTGTCCATGCTTGGCACATGATGATATCCCATGTAATCTGAATAGGATGGAGTGGAGACAAAGTTTTGCATTGATAGATTGTTGCTGCACCTTACGGATCCTGGATACATGCTGGTTTCTTTATCCAACAGATAACTGACATACATGATGTTTGAAACTGGTGAAAATACCTTTTTAAGACATCCTGTTCATCAGTGTTTTCTTTCACTCTTTTTAAAAGAAAAAAATCTATTCCTGATCTTAATAAATGACACTCTACTTAGAATCTTCTACCTCATCCTGTATTATCACCAACTGTTTTCATCAGGTGCTAGTGGTAATGGTTTACCAAGATCTTGTCTGACATCTGACGTCAGGATAAATGCCTGCCTCATAACTACATTTGCATTCAAATGAAGGGCTGACCATCCAGGCAACCCCACCTTGCTGCTAGTTATAGTGCTTCCTTGTTCACAGATCTTTTATATATCTCTTATCCCCTTTTCCACGCTCCTGAACCAATTCCATTACCATACAATTATGCTGAAATTGTTTGTGCTTCTAGAATTTTTTTAAAATCTATTTAGATAACTATATTACAGTATGTATGTTGCATGAAGGATTTTGCCTCAGCTCTTTTAAAAAGACAACTTTTGTCTTAAACATTTATTTATATAATTTTAAGGGAGGAAGTAAATTGGTAAACATGTTTATTAAACCTTTATATTTTGAACTTCACAAATTACTTGTTTATCTTTCACCTCTTTTTAAAGAAGCACTGCCAGCTTGAATATTTTGTAACTGTTCAGTTTTAAAGAGCTCCAATTTCTATAGGCCAGTCCTTTAAGCAGTGTCTTGAATTTTTAAAACATAATTCTTTAGAAGTGTGTTTTCAATTTTTTTCAATTTTTTTAATTCCTGGTAATATTTACTTAGGCTTTCCAGCATGGGAGAAGTTAATGTCCTGACTTGCCATGAGCATGGGTAGACTTTTGTGCCCACGTGGAGCCCCACTGACTTCATTGCGATTCAAAGGGATCTACCCATGTTGAATCCGCTGCTGAATCAGGGGTCAACTGACTAACTTTTCAGTGTAAACTATGCAACTGACCATCATCTCATCTGAAGAAATGGGTTTTTCCTACAAAAGCTCATGATTATATAGTATACTCCTCTGAGACTTTCACACACATTATGGTATCAAAAGGAACTAAATGAAATAAATGGAATAAAAAAAATCTGCAAGTTTCTTTCAGTTCTAGTCTTCTTGGGTGTTACTTACAGGAAATATACAGTTCTGAGACAAGAATGTGATTTTGAAGTTAACATTTTCTTTTCGGTTATAGTAGTTTGTTACTGAAATTGGTTAGAACACATCTGAATTGTCACATCTCTGGATCTGACTTCATACCTGTATGTAGTGCACCTAGCACACACTAGATGCCATAAAAGTAAATAGCCATGGTAATAACAAGGGATTTTTACAAATCTTTTGATAAGGCATTGTTGAGTGTTTGTTAAACAGATGGGATAAACCACAGCTTACTAGTTGAAAATCACCTTATAAGTTTGTATATGTTATATTTCTGTGCAGCGGATTCCATTTCACATGTTTAACTCAGAGGCTTGCCTAAATAATGAGCTATTTGTCAAGGAATATGCTTGCAAAGGAGGTGCAAATTATAATGAGATCTTTTCCTTTTCAGAGGTGTGTCTTTTCATTCATAGCCCTTTGCACTTTGACACCATTCAGACTCACACATCCCTTCTAATTCCAGCACTCTAAGTGTGTACCTAATAGAGAGTGGGAGTAAGCCAGGAAGGAAAAAGATGTATTTTCCAGTGAATGAAGGAAAAGAAGAATTAAAGATTTAAAGGCTTTAGTGGAAAATGTGTCCACTTTATCAGCAATTTTATAATACTGCATGTTTCTTTGCTTCTCGGACCAGTGGATAATACTGTGCAAAGCTGTGTCATGAGAGGGTGTGGAGGAAGATTGAACCTTGTGTCACTAGAGTACCTCTTCTTCTTACTAAATAGTGGTGATAATGAGGTCACAAGGGAATCCCATTCTTGTTAGCTGTAAGAAAAAAAGATTGCAACATAATCTCTCACTTTCAAGTACTATGTACTGCGGATGGCGGTGCTGGTATTCAGTGGGGTACAGAAGAGATTTCTATGGATCCTTGTGAACATAATTCAAATGAAATATTAAATGTCAATCATACTGGGAATATGATCATCCACATTTTTGCTCAATGAGTGAGCATCATGCCAGATGTTATGTTACTATACGTTGTTCCGTGGACCATGCTATGCTATCAATTTAGAGTCTTAGACAAATCCAAGTTGTTGTGGATAAAATTTCAGCTCTGTCAATTCAATTTGTACTTTGCTCCTGGACTTCCAATAACAATGGATGGTTTACAAAATTTAAGTCAAACATATTATGTGAAGCATAAAAAAAGGAATTTTCACACACATAAATAAATTCAATTTATTTTTATAGTGTGAATTGTATCTGCATATGATTTTTCATTCCTGGCTGTTTCCTTCTTGGTGACTTTATTCTCTCTCGCCCACAAATTCACTATCAGCTAATCTTATATTTTCTTGTATCACAGAGCTTTCCCCTTCTTTCTCTGTTCTTTTTATCTTTCGTTTTTGCTCCTCCTTTCCCTTTCTTGTTTTTGCCTGTTCTATTATCTGAATTTTCTTCAGATCTTTTTCAGTCGTCTCCAGAACATCTTATTCTTAATTAGATCAGGATATGCCTATGGCAGATTGCGGTACTGATTTAGTATCAGTTTACAATAGCAGCTCTAGATAAGGCATTTTGCTTAAACAGATTTACATAAAGTGATGAGAATGCAGTAAAAATGAAACTAAGGGCTCAGCCAGCAGGCTAGAAGCCATCAAAGTTTTAGGATTTGTCTTTACTAGATGATTAATATGTTGTTAATCTTGATTGGATTGGTAGGAAATTAACAGGAACAGCCAGATGCAAACCCTCTATGAGTCATGTCGTGGACATGGGACATTGAAGCTGCTATGCTACCTCACCCTGTGGTATAGGGCAGACTGCTAGCTAGCTTGCCTTGTTTGTCAATTCAATGTTCCCCTAAAGATCTATAGTTTACCAGCTCAGACACAACAAGGCACTTAAGCACATGCCAGCTTAAGTTTAACATAGTTAACTACTTGCTCACTTTTAGCAGTGGACCTTTTTGGAAAGTAATGGTTGCATCAGGTGATGAAACTTCACCAGGAATTTTTGCATGTAAAATCTTTGTTATCAAAGTGAAAGATGATGCAAATGAGAATGTCAGCTGTCCATGGAGACTTCCTGACCATTTTGAATTCCACATACTTCACTTTTTAAAAAAATATTTCAAAAGAAATGTTAAAACTATCAGTGATGGGAAATTACTTGTGAGGAGAGAGAGAGTCTGAAGCTCTCAAGGTATTATACAGGACACATCCTTTGTAGAACTAAAATATTTTATTTCCAATATTGCTCAGTGATCTTTCTTCAGTCACAGTAACCCTCCTTGGCTTTCCCCTAGGCATCTCTTTATAACAATGAATAATTTTTAGTGCTATTTTTCCATTTCATAAATCATTTGTCAAGTGCATAATTCATGCAACCCAGAATGGATTTATGTAAAGGGCAGTAGGGAGTGGTTCAGGCCTGAAGGAGGGTCACACCATTCTAGAGTGTGGATGCTTTAAAGTATATCCTGGCAACATGCATCCATTACATAACTGAGTGAGTAGGTCACTTTGGGAAAGGAGATTATTAAACCATTGAATGATGTGTCTTAAAGTTACTCCTCAAATTTTTTGTGGCATCCAGTAGAAATGGAGTCTCCTTCACTGCAGGGAGCACAGGGAACTAATTACACTTTTTAAACACTGGAGGAAAGGACCTGGAATGCTTTTGATCAGGATGCTTTTTTTAACTTCCTCTGCTAGCCATTCTGTGTTCATGTCATTGATGTTGGTGTCAATGCATGTTCTGTCAAGCAATCAGGCCCATATGACACTGTATCCAGATACATACAGCTATTTTCGGTACCCAGAAAATGGGACTATTGATGATGATGATGATCATTATTTAGCCAGTAAGAACAAATGGGACTTCAGTATTTCAGTGTGAATGATAAATATAGAGTTCCAAATATATGATTGGAACAAGGCTGTTCTGCTTTAATATCTTTGAAAATTGAATAAGGGATCTAACTGGGACTAAGAATTCTGTCTCAATACCTAGAATAAATATATTTGCCCAAGTAAAAAACAGCTGGACTAGAAGGTGGCACATGACTGAAATTGCATTGGATAATTTCCAGTTGACTGCAGAGATTACAAAGCTTAATTTTTGAAAATCATTAAAGTTTGATGTGTTTGAATTTGCTTGTTTTGATCATTTGTACCAAATCTTTCCTGTTCAGTATTATTTATGCTTCTTGATGAGTAGTGAGAATTCAAGGTTGTAGTGAAATCATCTGAAATTTGATTTTATTTGGCTTTGGATCGAATCACAATAAAGATGAAGGCTCCAATACCCTTGTGATTCAGTCTGGTGTGTGATGACGATAATGCCATGTCTGCATTGTGCTTTTCTTCCCAACTTTCCTAATAATTATGTTTTCACAACACTTTTGTGTTGTTATCCACATTTTTAGAGATGTGAAGAAAATCAGAGAACATTTAAGTCATCTGCCCAAAATCACAATGGAAGTTGGTGTCAGAATGAAGACGAGCACCAGATGTTCTTCGTTTCTGGTTCTTTACTAAGCTGACTGGATCAAACTACTTCTGTTGCTGATTGGCTCCAAGTTTATCTGTCTCTTTTTTTCATTTTGGCAATCATATTATGTATGCTTGACAAATTTCTTCTTCATGAGAAATATTGCTTGTGCATTTGTGGGCAATCCATCTTATAATAAACAAAAGCACACTTAAGATATTTAGTTGAATCAATTGCCTTTATGTTTTACAAAACGTTTATTGCTGGCATAACTAGAAGGTTAATGATCCCTAAAGTATTATCCCAGTTTATAGATACTGCTTTGGGGGCAATAAATGTTAACCTTTGAACATTTGCTTCTGCAAATAAAATTCAGCCTCATTTTGTGTGTACTTAACAACTTCTGATTGGAAACACTTAGCAACCTATAGCAAGCAAGCTTTCAGCAAACTGGAACAGAAATTAGGTAGGTCTTCAAAGTGACCACTTATCTTCCTCCATAATTCTTCTGCATGTAAACAAGATAAAACAGACTGTTTTGCCAGATCCCTCATTCTTTGAATGGCATGTTTGTCCAGTTATAAAGAACAAGTGATTGTGCTTGGATATATTTTTCCTTTTATACAAAAGCCTTTAAATCAGAGTCTTGCATTTCTTTTTCTTTAATCCTGCAATAGAATTTTAAAGCACTTCACAGAGATGTGAGGAAAGAATAGGCAACCATGAACTTGATCCTGCAGAGCGTGGGGCACCTTTTGCATGCTTCTGAACACCTTCATTTTCTGTTAATATCAATAGTAGTTGAAGGCATTTACTACCTTGTCTAAGTATCTTAGCACCTCACAAGATTGGTCCAGAAAGTTACTGTATGGAGCACAGTAGGCAGAGTCTTTACCTTTAGAGATTTCAGATTTAGAATTTCAAAATGTTTTACTGTTTTGATCTCTGTAGTTTGTGTGTGTCCCCCCCTTTTGTCTACAAACATCCTCTTTTCTTTATTGGAAATTGATTGAGATCAAGCTTAAAATATAAAGAACTATCATATACAGTTGAGTCTATATACAGTGTATGTACAGTGTTCCTTTAATTCAAAGTAGAATGACTGTTGTTTAAATTTCTAATGGGCATTTCTGGAAGATAATGTCTTGATATGGTTAGCAATACAAATGGTAAATCACGTTGGTACCAAAATATTATAATCAAGAGCCTGCAACCAAAGGACATTGAAATCAATGGGTTTCTTTCCATGAACCTCAGTGGACTTTGGATCCAGTCTCAATATGCCAGTATAGACTGATTAAATAACTTCTTGCATTTTGTAATGGTAAGTGATAACTTCACCATTTTTAGATACCAAATATTTACTATATACTTGAGAGAGTTTTGTCCGTTTGTTCAAGAATTCCTCCTAACTGGTAATAATCACCAAATTTGGTCTATAGCTTCCTCATATCATAACTTAAAGCAACATAAGGGTTTGGTTGTGCCAGGAAACTGGGATGTGCCTGGAATGGGATTGCTTCTCATATAACGAAACAGAAAAGAGACAGAATCACCAAATCAATTGCAATCCTCTAAATTGACATAAATGAGTGAATGTTGAAAGAGGGCTCAAGGAAAGCAGGGGTTCAGGGCTGGCACACAGAGTACTATCTCTGCTCTCTGGCTCCAGCACAGACTAGTCTTCCCATGGCTTCTACCAAGCCTAACCTGGACCTTCCCCAACCAGCGGACATTCAGCAGCCATGGAAAGGTGCTTCTTACCTAATCCCAAGATGTGTGATGAGAGAGCTGGTCCTCTCTCCCCAGGGCAGCCTGCATAATGAACTGCTCATTCCCAACCCCACCCCAGAGCAATGATTTAAATGAAGCATGCACATTTTCATTTTATTTCCCACTCCCACCCAAAAAATGTAATTGAGTTAAAGACCCAAGTAATGCCGGGTAAATCTCTTTGGATATGAAATGCAAGTCTGAATAATGAAATATATTACACATAATTTGTTAGCAGTATATGTGTCTTCATTCTGTGCCTCATTTGTGCCTAATTCTGACCATTATGGACTGTAAATTTCTCCATAATTCTTATAGATCTTAAATTCAGAACGGACCATCATGATCATCTGGTCTGACCTGCACATTGCAAGCCATGGCACTGATTCACCCACTCCTGTAATAGACCTATCACCTCTGGCTAGGTTACTAAAGTCTTCAAATCATGGCTTAGAGACTTAAAATTACAGAGAATCTACCATTTATATTAGTTTAAATAGCAAATAACCTGTATCCCCCGGATGTAGAGAGAGGCAAAAATTCTATAATCTCTGCCAATCTGACCCATGGGAAAATTTCTTTCTGATCCCAAATACAGGAGGCCCCTGACATGCGATCGCCCGAGTTCCAACCCCCTGCACTTACACCATTTTTGTAAGTGCAGAAGGGGCCCAAAACCCCTGACTTAGTCTTTGGCCCACATTTACGACAGCGCACAGTGCCTATCATAAATGAGGGCTCAAGTTACAATGCCCCCGACTTGCGACACTTCCCCAGGAACAGATCACCTCGCAAGTTGGGGGCCTCCTGTATGGCGATAAGTTAGACCCTGACATGTGGGCAAGACCCACCAGTCCGACTCCTGGGGAAGAATTCTCTGTAATAATGAAAGGTATGTCTATACAGTAGTGTTATTTTGGAATAACGTCAGTATATAATAACTTACGTTATTCCGAAATAACAAAGAGTACATCTACACAGCAAGCCATTATTTCTAAATAATGGCAAGCTGGAGGACTTCTTACTCTGACTCCTGTAACCCTAATTTTAGGAAGAGTAAGGGAAGTCAAAGGAAAAGTGTTCTTCCTTCAACTTCCTGCTGTGTAGACAGCGCCGAAAGCTGAATTAAGGTATTTAGACTTCAGCTACGCAATTGACGTAGCTGAAGTTGCTTACCTTAATTCAACTTTTGCCCTGCTGTGTAGACGTGCCTTCACACCTGGCACTAGGAGCTTCCAAACCTCATGTAGGTGTAAGTAAAGTGACTCTGTCATATAAATTGCCATGGTGGATGACGTCTTTTCTTTGTGTGTGTACCTCTCAGAAGAACAGCAGCAGCAGTGCAGGCTTCCTTCAGGATCCTCAAAGGCTGATTTTAGTCTGAACATCTTATGAGCCTCCTGCCAACCAGGAAAGCAATTTTAGAGGGCATTTTGTGATACAGATGTATGCCCATTGCCATTGGAGTGGGACTAGGACCATTACAGTTGTTTCAGGCCACTATGTATTTAAAAAACCACTAGTTATTTAAAAAACCCTGATCTGGTCTGAGCTGCACTAAAACTGGTGATTGGTGATTTATAAGTGACATTACCAGCCCCCTGAGCCATCTTATTTTCATCATAACCCTCCAACTATACTACATATTTAAACTTTATCCCATAATTATATCAAATAACAGACTGATGATGAATATATTTTCTACATTATTATTTCCTGTAGTAGATTAACATATTGTAAACACTGAAAAGTCACTTTATTTTAGAGTTCTTTATATACAAAGTAATTTTTCATTATCCACATGAGGTCATCAAAATAATATTATGATATATAATTAAAGCAAAACAAGTATGTACATGCACATAGGCCAAGATTTGGGGTAAATTTTTCAAAAGTGTCAATGTAATTTGGGAATCTATGTCCCATTTTCAAAAGTGTCTCAGGTATTTAAGAGGCATTGGCCAAGTCTACACTGACACTTTACAACCCTATAACTTCTTGGCCCAGGGATGTGAACTCACCCCCCACCCCTGAGTGCAGGAAGTTACAGCACTGTAAAGCACCAGTGTGAACCAGGCTACAGCACTGGGACTTCCCTCCCAGAGGTGATTTACATAGTGCCCAGAACTCATACTGTGGCCACACTTTCAGTTTAAAGCACTGCTTTGGCTTAATGAAAGTCTATGGGACTCAGGAGCCTGTTTCTTTTAACAATGAGACATAGTAATTTAGGTGCTTTTGAAAAATTTACCTTTGGTGACTAAAGCTATGTGCCTAAATCCATAGGTAACTATCCAGGTAAGTAACCACACTTTCAAAAATGCTGCCACTGAAGTCAATGAGATAATGGCACTTTTGAAAATCAACCCATTTTGGTGCCTAAGTATGGATTTAGCACCTCAGCTTTAGAGATCCATTGAAAACTATTGGCCAGAGTTGTTGGGTTTTTTTGTCAAATAAAATACTGGTTTGCTTGGTCTTCCGTTAATTTGACTTTTCAAATGTTAATAGTAATATGTCTGAGAACCAGACTAAATTTAAATGAATTTAAACATTACTTGGAAGCATTAGATTAGAGTGGGCAAGATATGGCCCGCCAAGCAGTGTGTGGCCTACCCTGCTGCTAGGGTTGCCAGGTGTCCAGTTTTGAACCGGACAGTCCAGTATTTGAGCTTTCTGTTCGGGAAACAAATTGAGAAAATATAAATGAGAAAATATGAATGTCCGGTATTTTCTAAATAAGATGTAATGTAGATTGTGATGTAATGTCAAGTGTGTCCGGTATTTTTGTTGAAACCATCTGGCAACCCTACCTGCTGCTCTCCCATCCCCAGGCTAATTGGGACATGGGGATGGGACAGTGACTGGCAGAGCCCTCCCCCTGCCAGGAGCACACGTTACCTAGAGGGAGCCACCAGCCATTTTGAGCAGTGTATGACTTTGCGCACTCTCCCACTCCAAAGTCCTGATTGGACTGGGGGCGGGGGAGTGTGCAATATCTCTTGCCCCCTCCCCCCTCTCCCCTGTCAAGTGTGCACTGTGCCTAGAAAGAACCACCAGCCATTTTGAACAGTTGGCAGATCCCTCTAGATGCCACACTGCCAATTGGCCTGGGGGTGGGGGAACACGCAAAGTCTCCTCCCCCTACTAGGGGTACACGGTGCCTAGAGGGAACGGCTCTTTCCTCCTGAGGCCTTTTCCCTTCCACAGAAGACCCCACCTTTCCCAGAGGAGGGGAGAGCTGGCCTGTGACCACTACCAAAATTCACAAAGTGGCCCTCCTGCAGAAATTATTGCCCACCCCTGCATTAGATGTATCTTTATGGTTTTATTGTCTCACAAAATGCAATTGTTTCCGTAAGTATATCTAAGTTTTAAGCATTTTTCTTCCTTTACTATTTCTTTAAGAAACATAATGAACTGAAATTACTTCTCAACCACCATCAGTGAAAATGGGCCAAGATTCAAAGTTCCATTATGTTTTTCCAGAAACACTTATAGGATGATTTGAAGAGCGCATGTTTGTTCTAGTATTATTTAGCCTTGGAAGTTTTTAAAATCCGTTCCCCACCATAACTCAGCAGTCTGTAGCCACCTGGATCTAGGTATCCAGTAGCCCAAAGCATGAACTTGTTTTTCAGGGCCAAATCCTGAGCCCAGGTGCAAAGCTCAAGAAAGCAAGATTATCCCATGGAACCTACATAAGGATAAGAAGGGGGCGGAATTTTCCCTTTTAATCCAGTGACAGGGCAAAGAGCACATGAACAGTCCCTGATTTGCCCTCAGCAATGCACCATTGCCTGTGGTTTGCTTCATACAACTTTTGGCTAGTGGATCCACATAGTAGCAGAACAACTGACCACCTCTTTGTTCCTAGCCACCCTTTGCACTGCCATGGGAAGTGCCTGCTTTGTGGCACAGGGCGGGCATGGCACCCCCTTGTAGCATCCAACCAGACCCTTTGCACACAATAGTTCCATTGGCTTTGGGGTCATTCACTGTCCTTTCATAGGCCCTGGGGTTTTGGCCGTAGTTAATGGTATGTGGAGCCTATGTGCACAAGGCTGTTGTGATGCTGGGATCTCTTGCTGTCCTGTCCCCCTGTGAATGGTAGTGCTCCATGTACTGTTGGTTTATAATGTTCTTTATAAAAACTCTGAATTGCCTTACTGAGAGGCCACAACTTGCTGTAGGTTCCCATTGTGCTGCAAGCTGTTCATTGGAAGAGGAGGAGGTGGTGGTGGAAATAAGGAATTGGACATTTCCGAATGAGTCTGTGTGTTATGTACTGCAATGGGGCTTACTGAGCCAGAGTCACTCTGCATTGAGCCAAGACTGGTACCATCAAAATGAGTCATTTTCTTCTTCATTAATTTTCTTTCTTTGGCTCTGCGATTCTGAAACCAAATTTTCACCTGCAGAGGAACAAAGGAAAAGGTGTTCAAGAGCTAATGGAATTCAGTCTGATCAGTTACCTAATAACTGTCATAGGAAAAATCATAAACATGTAGGTCACTTGGGAAGGAAATAGGAACCCCATAAATAGCACAAACCCATTTCTTTAAAAAAAATGTAATGTACCTTTTGATAAACTATCAGCTTCTCAGTGGTTTGAGGTTTTTTTAGTGGGTTTTTTTGGCATTTTTATATGTAACGTTTAGGATGTGTCTATAAAATTATATCTAATTTCTTATGTTACATGCATCACCGTGATAGTCAAATGCCTGAGACTGCTCTGATGTTTGGGCTGAACTGGTATCAATAGCCTCAGAGACTGGGAACATACAAATAGAGTTACAGCCACCTTTTCCCCTGCCTTGGTTGTGCACCAAGTCCTTGGTCGTGCACCAAGGCCAAATCAAAGGATCAGGCCAATTTACTTAAGGCATATTTCTCATCTCACATTCATTAGTTTTACAGAAGTATAACTCTGTTGACTTCAGTGGAGTTGGTTGTAATTTAGATCATTCTTCAATATGGAATTAGCTGTTTGTTTAGGCACACACATTTGAAAAGTGTGTTTATAACTTAACAAAATGTCTTCAGTTCTTTCAATTTGGACAGAGAAAATAGCCTTTTTAAACTTACCTTTCAACCCCCTTTCTTATTAAAAATAATTTTCAGTGACCAATAGTCCAGTTTAACTCAAATACATCTTGTGAGCGTTAAGTATTTCTTTACACTGGGTCACAAAGAGACACAGACTGTGGTGAGCTGAGATAAGGCAAAGCAACAAAAAAACTGGTGTTTTCCATAGGTGCTATGCTGAAAGAAAATTCCACATTTCTTTGTTTAGAAAAAAAAAGTTATATGGTGGCAAATCTGAAAGACATGTACTCATTTTATCTTTGCTAATGATACAAACTCTCCACCACTCCCATACTGTATAGGGGCTTGTCTAATCTACATTTAGACATCTGCAGCTGATCTGTGCCAGTTGACTCAAGTTTATGGGGCTTAGTCTGTTTTCCCTTGTTGAGTTGCTCAACAACTAGTTTTCTTTTCCCCAGTCTAATCCTCTCCCTTTTCTTCCTTGCTCCCAGTCTCCACCAACCTCTCCACATCTTTCACCCCTGCTCATGGTGGCTACGTCTACACTGGCCCCTTTTCCGGAAGGGGCATGTAAATTTCAACTATCGTAGTAGGGAAATGCGCGGGGGATTTAAATATCCCCCGCGGCATTTAAATAAAAATGTCCGCCGCTTTTTTCCGGCTTTTAAAAAAGCCGGAAAAGAGCGTCTACACTGACCCCGATCCTCCGGAAAAAGCGCCCTTTTCCGGAGGCTCTTATTCCTACTTTGAATGTAGGAATAAGAGCCTCCGGAAAAGGGCGCTTTTTCCGGAGGATCGGGGCCAGTGTAGACGCTCTTTTCCGGCTTTTTTAAAAGCCGGAAAAAAGCGGCGGACATTTTTATTTAAATGCCGCGGGGGATATTTAAATCCCCCGCGCATTTCCCTACTACGATAGTTGAAATTTACATGCCCCTTCCGGAAAAGGGGCCAGTGTAGACGAGCCCTACTTGTTTCTGTCTTCCCTAAACAAGAAGCCCATTTTATTCACTACACTTCTAGCAGCACTTTCAGTTGGATGTAGTATTAATTTCTTGTTCAAATACTATTCTGTATTCTGTGTGTTGCTGTGCTTAGGTAAATAATTGCTGTTTCACTTCAACAGTGAATACATTTCAGATGTGAATAAAGCAATACATCATAGATATGTGTTAAAGTTTGTAAAGCATTTTGAGATCCATTAAGGCAAAATGTGTACGTGCTCTCACTCTCTCTCTCTCTCTCCCTATTGGTCATTATCATTCATTAATGTTAATAGGTCACCAATCACATTTTTGTATTTTAATTGGCTGGAAAGAACCCTTCTCCTAGCCTTATGAGATATTTCCGAGTTTATAAGAGGATCCGTTTCTTCCAGTATCTCACAGGGTGCATGGATTTCTCTATTTCCCAGATTATCAGCACCTACTACATCAGTGGTCACCAACCAGCAGATCGGGATCTGCTGGTTGATCTTGGAGCCTCTGACAGGTGATTCTGACTGGTTTCGCTGGGAGGCTATCAAGTGCTGGCACTTCAGCTGCCTCCCTCTCCCCCCTCCCCTGATTGCCCTGCTGCTCATGCCCGGAGCCTCCTGCTTGTTGTGCAGAATGGGGGAAACAGAGGCAGGGGGGCATTGGTGGCACTCTATCCCCCTTCTCTGTACCCCATCTTCACAGAGTGAGGAGGGTGGGGCCTTGGCAAAGGGGTGAAGCAGGGGTATTTGGGTTTGAGGTAGATACAGGACTGAATTAAATTCAAAAAGTGATCTTGTTCTTAAAAAGGTTGGAGACCACTGTACTACATGATTTTACCTAAGGATGCTTTGCACCATGCGGTACCTAGCATGTATATTTTCTCTCACAGGCACAATGACCTGTCCAAAAACAATCATTGTAATCACTGGTTCTAATCTGAAGTCTGTTGTGCACACAGTTTTTGTACTGGTATAGTTATTTTGGTTAGGTATGTGGGTTTTTAAAAAATAAAAAAATAACCTCTAATGTAGACATAGTTATCATGGTATAAGAGATGCCTTATACTGGTAATCTATTACCTCTTCCTGAATGGCAATAAGCTTTATGACTATAACTACATCCACAGTGTATTGGGAGTGAGGTGCTGTAACACTGTTACCATACTAGTGTAGTTAAAGTGATATACAATTTTTGTGAGTAGAGCAGGTCTAAGATACAACTGACAGAAACATGATGTCCCTGGTCTGAATATTCACAGAAAGCAAATCTTGACTTAGTATTCATGGGCATACCTAAATCCAGATATTAAGAATTTATTCATCCAATCAGGGAACAAATATATATAATGTGACCTATATGTCCAGTTAAAACAACTCAAATGTCTGATGAACAAATACTTGTAACAAATCACTTGCTAACTTGCTGCAGCTCAGTACTTAGTATGAAATTAGGTCGTGTTTCTTCACTGTCCAGGAACATCCATGCTGGATCAGGGAGTCTCAGTTAAGGGAGGTACAATCTGTATCATTATCCATACAGTCTGCCCTCAACTTACACAAGTGAAAATGACAACATGGGGGCTACGTCTACACTGGCCCCTTTTCCGGAAGGGGCATGTAAATTTCAGCAGTCGTCGTAGGGAAATGCGCGGGGGATTTAAATATCCCCCGCGGCATTTAAATAAAAATGTCCGCCGCTTTTTTCCGGCTTTTAAAAATGCCGGAAAAGAGCGTCTAGACTGGCCCCGATCCTCCGGAAAAAGTGCCCTTTTCCGGAGGCTCTTATTCTTACTTCAAAGTAAAAGGGCACTTTTTCCGGAGGATCGGGGCCAGTCTAGACGCTCTTTTCCGGCATTTTTAAAAGCCGGAAAAAAGCGGCGGACATTTTTATTTAAATGCCGCGGGGGATATTTAAATCCCCCGCGCATTTCCCTACGACGACTGCTGAAATTTACATGCCCCTTCCGGAAAAGGGGCCAGTGTAGACGTAGCCCCCATGTTGTCATTTTCACTTGTGTAAGTTGAGGGCAGACTGTATGGATAATGATACAGATTGTACCTCCCTTAACTGAGACTCCCTGATCCAGCATGGATGTTCCTGGACCACAGAGCCTGGGAAGAGGGAGGTCTAGTGGTGGGGCAGAAGTTCTGTAAGGGGCACAGGCGACTCAGCTGGGAACCTAGTATGTGTGTGGGGGTGGAAGGATGGATGGCATGGCGGGGAGTTCTGGCCTCAGTGGAGCTCTCTGGCCACGGCCATGGACCTCCAGTTCCAGCCAGCGAGCTCTGGCCCTGGCCAGGGAGCTCCATCCCCATCCCCATCCCCATCCCTCTGCCCTGGCCGCAGAGCTCTGACCCCAGCTGCAGAGCCAGGCAGATGCAGAGCTCTGTCTGCACAGTTCTAGCTGTGGTGCTCTGACCCCCGGAGTAACAGGGCTGGGGAGAGCCCCAGGTGGCTAAGTCAGCAGCAGCAGGGGCAGGCTGGAGCCTTTGCCAAGTGGCAGCATGGCCATGAGGGGAGGGACCTTCCTTGGTCTGGCAAATCCCCTCATTCGGGACCAGTCAGGTCCGGAGGGTGTCGGACCAGCAAGATCCAACCTATAGCCATCTTATTCGGTAGCTTTTGTATCCACTTTGCACATCACAAGGTCTTGTCATGTTTGCACACAACTTGCAAACAAAATTTGGTGAAATTGTTGAATATATTATCCAAAAGAATTATTCATAGAGCTCCATCAATAAAACTCATAATTCTGTATTTCACTGCCTAGTTTCAGTGCAATGGTAAAAGAATCTCCCAGGTATCGTGATATAGAATATATTATGTTCACTCAAGGAGTAATTATATGCATTGTTCTGTGCGTGATCCAGCTAGACTTCTTATCTCTGTGTCTTGCTTCATAGGCCAGCTGGGGTTGGATGTGTTTTAGAGCTAGAGGCCATATTTCCAGCTCGATTGGTAGGAGAAAGAAAAGGCTAGAAGCACTGCAGGGACAGTGCATAGATATTGCAAATACCTGAGTCAGAGGTATGACATTGATGGATTCCAGAGCAAACTTTATTCAGCTCTTGGCTAGAAGGATGGCATTGCTAATAGAGAACCTCAAGATTAGAGGACAAAATGGAGTAAATATTGAGCGAGGAGGGAATTCTCGAATAAACATAAAGAAGAACCCAGGATAAATAAGTACCTTCCTAAATGTATTTGATCTTGCCACTTGGACTTATTGACTGTATCTAAGGATGAAATCTTAGCCCATTGAAGTAATTAGCAAAACTCCCATTAACTTCAGTGATGTCAAGATTTCACCATAGGATTTTTTTTTTCTAAAATTTCCCGCCAGGGTAGAGTAGGACCCAAGGAGCTTCTTGTGTTTTAAAACCATCTCATCCATCTCATCTAATTGGAAAAATGGTCTGAGCTAAACAGGATGAAGTTTAATAAAGACAAATGCAAAGTGCTCCACTTAGGAAGGAACAATCAGTTTCACACATAGGATATGTCTACACTACAAAGTTAATTCGAAATAACAACCGTTAGTTCGAATTAACTTTAATAGCGTCTATACATGCAAACTGCTATTTCGAAATTAATTCAAAATAGTGGAGCACTTAATTCAAATTTGGTAAACCTCATTCTACGAAGAGTAACGCCAAATTCAAAATAGCTATTTTGAATTAAGTGCTGTGTAGACACTTAATTCGAAATAGGGGGCCTCCCTGGGGGCTTCCAGCCCTTCCCAGGGAGCCCTGGTGGCCACTCTGGGCACAACCAAGAACACTTACTCTCCTCTCCCCCAGCTCCAGAGCTGTTAAAGGGGTAGACTCTGGCCACAGTGCCTGTGCCAGCTCCAAGCCTGCCAGCCCAGAGCCAGCAGTGGCCATCGAGGCCCCTGAGCCAGTGGCCCCAAAACATGAGCCAGCAAGCCTCTGGCAGCCAGCCCTCCACCACTACCCAGGAGCAGTCTGCCAGCTCCCAGGAACCTGATAGGGGCTGGAGAAGGCGAGTGCCTTCCTGGTCCAGGGTGGAGATCATGGACCTTATTCAGGTTTGGGGGGATGCCCCCAATGTCCAGGGTCTCCTCACTAGCTGGAAGAATGTGGCCGTCTATGGCAGGATAGCTGCCAGCCTGGCCACCAAAGGCTACATGCAAACCCAGGAGCAGGTTTGCATGAAAATTAAGTTGGTCTGGTGAGACCCCCAACCCTGGGCCCTGAGCTTCCCCTCCCCCTTCTTCCCCTTGCTTCCCCCTTTCAGCTTCCTCCTCCAGGTTCCCCCTCCCCTATCCCACCATCTCTCTTCCTCTCTCCCACCTCCTTTTCCCAGTTTCCCCAGAGGTCCGTGCCCCCACCAGTTTTGTTCAATAAACCCAGTTTCTATTTTTGAACATACGTGTCTTTTATTTGACATCAGGAAGGGGGGCTAGGGAGGGTAAGTGGAAGGATGTGAGGGAGGAATGGAGCACGAGCCCCCGGTGGGGAGGACTGGGCTCCTCAGGGTAGATGCTCTCCTGCAGGGCCCTTCTGGATCCTGACAGCCTCCCGATGGACCCCCCCGGATGGCAGCCTGCAGCAAGTGCAGCTGGGCTGATGGCAACGACCCCACGAGGCATACCGGCATGCACAGGGGCAGCTCTGGCTCCATGTGGCCGAGTGCTATGGTGTCCCAAGTGTGGGCACTTAGGGCACTCCAAGACAGGACTGCTTTGCTGTCTCTCATCGAGGTAGACAAGCAAGCGGGGAACCCTAAGAACTGTCTGTCCTGGGTGAGGGTAGGGTCCCTTTAAGTACGGAGCTCAGTTAGCCTCAGGCAGCAGCCCCACACACTAAATCCTAATCTGATGCCCTGCCGGCACTAGATTAACTTTAGTTCAGGGTCCACTCAGTGTGGATACACTATTTCAAAATAGCAAAACACTATTTTGAAATAAGCTTTGTGTGTAGATGCGTTAATTCGAATTAGTTTAATTCGAATTAACGATTTCAAATTAAGTTAACTCGAATTAACGCTGTAGTGTAGACGTACCCATTCAAAGTAGGTCTTAAAAATATTGTGCTTAAAGAGTTGACAAGACATCCTGCCAACTGCTAATGTCTTGCCCACACTAACACTAGCACCAATGCTGCTGCTGGTACAGCTGAGTCTATGTTAGCAACGGTGGAAAATGTAGAAATAATGTCATAGTGGGAGGGAGGGTAGTGGAGTACATTGCAAACAGTCATGCCACATTTTTTAGTGCTTAGAGACATTAGGATACTTGTGTTTTTAACCAGTCTTGTCATCTCCTGAACAACAATAACAATGCATGGGAAATCTGAGCATGAGAGCCATACTCTACCTGTCTCTCAGAAAGTCTTAGATTTGCTGCAAGTTCAGACTTCCTCCTAATTGTAATGTATCTGTTGTAATGAAATTCCTTCTCCAGTTCTAACCTCTGATGATCTGTGTAAACCACACGGTATTTCTCTCTTGTTCTTGTTTTACCTGTTTCAAAAGAAAAAAGACATAGCTTCAAGCGAGAGTTTTTAATTTTAATAGCATAAAATACCTTCCTTTACATTTGAAAAATATTCTTCAAAGTTCTGGGACTGATTCTTCTCTCACTTACTCCAGGATAAATCCATTGATTCCAGCGGAGTTAGTGTTGATTTACACCTCATGTAAATTTGGCCCATAGACTTTTGTTCCTAAGTAAACAGAGGACTGATGTACCCTGAGATTTCTTTATCAACACAATATTATTTTGAGGAAGAAGGATGGTTTTGTGGTTATGGACTGGTAGTTAGGAAATCTGAGTTCTATTCGTCTCTGTGACACAAACCTCTTCTGTGGTCTTATGTAACTCACAAAATGTCTCTGTTGCTTGGTTTCTCTAAATAGAGATGAAACCTGCCTCAAATGGGGATTATCAGACTTCTTTTGCTGTCTATAAAGCATACTGTCTTTCTAGCACTCTTGATGCTTTAAAAACTATAATGATAATGATTTATACATGCAGGCTGTGTCTACACTGGCCGTTTGAATTTCCGCAAGAACACTGACGATCTCATGTAAGATCGTCAGTGTTCTTGCGGAAATACTGTGCTGCTCCAGTTCAGGCAAAAGCTCTCTTGCGCAAATCATTTGCGCAAGAGGGCCAGTCTAAACAGCACAGTGCTGTTTTCCGCAAAAAAGCCCCGATCGCGAAAATGTCGATCAGGGCTTTTTTGTGGAAAACTGCGTCTAGATTGGCCACAGACGTTTTTCCTCAAAAAGTGCTTTTGCGGAAAAGCGTCCTGCCAATCTACATACGATTTTTCCGAAAATGCTTTTAACGGAAAACTTTTCAGTTAAAAGTATTTTCGGAAAATCATGCCAGTGTAGACGTAGCCGCAGAGTTCTATTACCTATAATTTGATAGGCAGCTTTTTCACTTCTGTGTTAAGAGGTGCAAACTATTTATACCTAAATATCAGGGCAAGGAATGAAAATATGAAAGATTTTCAGTAGAAAATAAGTAGAAAATGAGAGAATGCTTGCTGTAGAACATGTCCGAGTTGTAGCATTCATTCTTTTATTAATACTCATTACATCATTTTAAGTTTGGTCTATGATACAGCTGAACAGGGGATTGTTAAAAAGTACATGTGAATGTCAGCGGCTATTGAGGAGAGATCCAGATAGCTGGAATTTCTGGCCATGACACTGCAACTTTATTAATTCTGTCAGGATGACTTCTCAGGACAATCAGTCCTAGTACCAGGGGTACCAGGGATATTGAGGAGAACCATATAGATCCATGATGTCCAACCAGTTCCGAAGCAGTAGCTACTATAGTGGCTGCTGCTATAGCAAACTAGCCATACTCAAGTGGCCAAATAGCACATTGTTCAATCCAACTAGCCACATTCAACTGGCTAAATAACCACATGTGGCTAGTGTGTTGGACACCATGGATATAGATGCTCTCTTTGTTATCTCCCTCTCCTCCCCTTTGTCAATGCTTATATCCAATCAGAGCATCACAGCCCTAAGGATTAACAGCAGTTTAAATTCAAGGCCTTATCAGACTCTGCATTACTCCAGTACTACTGAGTTGCTTAAAACTAAGGTCCTTTTTGAGCCTGCATTACCCTCAAGGTCTATTATGGCCTATAATCCAGAGGAACCTTCTCCCTGGCCTATTAGGATGGCTTATATTTACCCACAAATTCTCTCCTTGAGAGAGATTCTCGGGGAAAAGGGGGACTTCCTGAAAACCACACAAAGGCTGCAACTTTATTAATTCCATTACAAAACAGCTAGTCCTACAGCAGTAAAAAGAGAGAAGGCTCCCTTTGACATTTCTCCTCCCCCTTTGTTGATGCTGAAGTGCATCAACATCAACATCATGATCCCACCATGCTACTCTGCCTATGGTTATGTATGATATCTGATCTGACCAACATGACAAACTTGATTTTTTCTGGAATGTCTGTTTTCCAGGTTTGAAGAATAGAAGGTCTTATTCTCTGAATGTGGTCTCTTATCCTGCATGATACATATAGTTCAGCCTTGTGCAAACAAAATATGTTAAGAATGGACTTTAAGTGATCTGGACATTTCTCATCAAATCTGTATAATTTGGAACCAGGCCTAACCAAATATTTTTGTCCATGTTCCTATGTATTATTCATGTTTGCTTGTTTGCTTAAGAAACATTTTGTCCAAAGCCAAGAATACTTTCAACCAAGTCTGATACCTTACCCACAATAGATTCCCACTGATTCAGTTTAATTTCCATTGTGGTAAATGTGTAATAATTGCACTGAAGCCAATGTAGATAACACAAGTGTTATGCTAGAATTATGGAAGAGTCAACCCAATTATGCTACCTGTAGTCAAATTAGCTGTAATGTCCAAAATGCTACTGACAAATTTTAAACAGGTCCTGAAAAACAGTAATTATCTTCAGCCTACATAGATTTCTTTTCATTCACTGGAAGTGTAAAAATGTTTGTTTAAACATGATCACCTATGGTGCTTTAATGCCTTACTTGATACAGTATTTTTAAACTTCTTTTGATCTTTCTAGCCTGTGTTTTTGTTTAGTTTTTTCCCCTTTGAATGTGAATTTGGGGTCATTCTGTGGAACAAAATGCCTAAAATGTTTCACTAAAGTCTCCATTGTGGTGTTAAGATGAAGTACACAAAAAAGCTGCAAGGTAATCTTATCATGAACCCTATTCATGTTCAGAAGCCTTAAACAAATATCAGATCCCCTTTTATCTCCAAAAAAACAGGGAATAAAGCCAAAGAAACACCTCTCTGTTTCTAATTGTAAGTATTAAACTCTGATTATCCTTCAGGAAGAATTATTCATTGCTTTTAAAACTGAAATAGATGCTAAATATATTTGTAGAACTTAACACTTATTTATCTATATATTTCTTGCTTGTTTCCTACCATGCAAATAGACTTCTCTTTCTTTTTAAATATAATAGCCCTTCAT